ACATCTCCTATACCGATACCCTGATCGCCTTGGCAGCTCCTGACTATTCTATCCATGTACAACACAAACAGGATAGGGGACAGGACGCCGCAGCCTTGGCGGAGACCAATGCGAACGTTGAATGGTTTCGACTTAACGCCATTAACTCTGACACAGCACTTGCTCTCAGAATACAGTGACTGGATAGCCCTCAGCAACTTGCCATCAATCCCGTATGTACGAAGACATGTCCACAGACTGTTGTGTGGGATCCGGTCATACGCTTTCTGTAGGTCCATAAAACACATGCACACCGGCTGGGCGTACTCCCACGATTTCTCAACAATCTGGTGCAGGGCAAATATATGGTCAGAGGTGCTTCGACCGGCAGACTGGAATCAGTTATTCCGCGGCCCCTCCTTAATTTCCCGACTCTTAGGAAACAAAGCTGCATTTCTTAACTAATTCAAGCTAAAACATCAAAAGATCCCGTAAATCTGCAGCACAAGACACAAGAACAGCAAGCTTCGTTTTGGTCAGATATCGGTATCATGTCAGAAAAAACTGGTTGAAAAGCACGCCAAGAAGGAATTCGCCATCCAGTTTTGCGACACGGTCAAGCATGAAAATGGAAATGAACTCTTCTGAAAAGGAGGATGATCACCGACAAATTACCAAAACAGCATGGGTAGAAAGCTCGCCTTACTGCAAGATGAACAACGAACAATTAGACATCAACACCGAGTAATGACCATCAGCTTTACAAAAAAATCGGTGATATATGAGCCAAAACGACGTAGAAGTTATTTTTAAAGTACTCCACAGTGAGTACTCCACTTTTAAATTACTTCATATATATATTCATTGCTGAATAAACCGATGTTCATAACTACACACATCTAACCTTCAGCATAAATTGACATGGACAAATATGACAATGCTGACAATTCCGAAAAATAACTGATGGTTAATAATATTAATGCAGATTGGCACTACGCAACTTTCCGTTCGCATCAACAAGCAGTGTCATATTATCGACTTCTGGACTAATTACACCGAAAGTTTACTGATCGCAAAGGAAGAAAAACAACAAGAAAACAACAGCAGATAAAAATACCTAATAACAACGAAACCATATTAAAATAGCTTAAAAAGGTTTTAAGAAAACAACGTGCAGAATGCCGTTGTGACCACCAAAACAACACCAATGCTGGTCGGCTATGTACTTGTTGGAATCGACCGCAAAAATAGCCGCCTGGCGCAGTCCGAACGGGTAGCTTTTCTTGTGCGCTTGCGTCTTCAGCCGCGAGGCTGCTTGCTTTGGCAGGAATACAAACTTCAGCGCGTTCAATGAAGGTTCGCGTTCGGACGTGCTGCCGGGGGTCGCTGAATCGACGGTCAACGGTGACTTTAGTTTGACGGTATTGAATACAAGTTTAGATGCCAACCTCATATTCTGCTGACGATTTCCGAGGAAGCTGAAGCACGATGCGACAACGCGACCGCTTTCATCGACTGACATTATTGCGGCGTGAGGAGGAAAAAATGAAAACTTCCACACCACGTCGTTGAGGGAAGAAACGGTCATTCTCTGAGGTTGAGAATCATAATCTGGCTCGGTGGTGGCAAAGAGAAAACGCACTGAGTCACCCAAATGATAGCCGTCCTCTTCCAAGCTGTAGAGAAAACCAGGAAAAAGGGTAGGAACGGTAAAGACAGTATGTAAGGTATAGTAGAATGGCCATTTGCGGAAACACACATCTTCGAGCATGTCCCACATTACAGCATCCCCGTTCCTCGAAGAAAACAGAATTATTGATTCGGTAAACCAGTAGACGGAGCGTATCGACGAGTCTGCAACGCAACTGCACAGATACGGTTCCATCGTCATTGAAGACTCTCCCTGCTGCCAGCGACTGGCAATATTCCATGTGCAAAGCAAACCGCTCCGAAAGCCAGCGGCCACCCACGAATGTCCCTTGAACGGAGACCAGTCCACGGAATCGACCGGCTTTTGACACGGGCTCAAAAGAACGGCAACCGGCTCCAAGGTATGAATCAGCGGTGATTGGCTAAATTCTATCCCGAGAAACTGCGGATGAGGTAAACTGTATATCAGTACGGATCCATCGTCCGATGCGGCTGCAAACACGCCGAGGCGCGGCAGCTCATCTCCTTCCCCTATTGGTGCTGTCTGGTCGTTAGGCGACGGATCTTGCCACATGCCCGAAGGACACCAACTAATGTCATTGATATGGTCCTGTTTGTGCGTAAAAACCATGCATATCCGAAAGTGCTCGGCAGACGCTGCAGTTGATGCCGTATTCGCAAAAGCTGCGGCGTCAAAGGACCACAACTGTAGTACATCAGATACGGGATCCAGCGAGAAGGTCAAACCGCGATCGTTGCGTAACGACACCAATATGTACTGTATCCCCCCGTTATTTGGACACCAAGCAACGGAAAGAATTGCTGCTCCGCAAAATCCAGCCACCCCGTTGACGTGACCAACGGTCTCGAACATGCTGAATTGTTTGGGAGCAGTGTCGTTGCCGAACGAGACAGCAATCGAATGTTTCGACAATAGACATTCTGAGGGATGGCTCTCTTGTGTTTTCCAGTGACTTCTCCTAGCGATGAACTCTGGGAAAAGAGAAGAGCATTTGAAATAATTCTCTGCTACGAACTTGTTCCAATCCTCAGAAATTTTCTCAGACCACTGGGCGATGTTGTAAGTCCGTAAATGTCGAATTCTTCTGCTACCAATATTTAACAAGATTGATTCGTCGTTAAGCAATGACCTTTCCGACTTTGGACTTTTCTCGGCGCCTTGTTCCGCTGACTCATTTTCGTCTTCGTTCCACTTGTGACTCACAATGCCTCGAAGCATGTCGCGGTGCTTCTCAAACAGGTGCAACCGCATATTGAGGTACGGCATTTGCTCATCACATTCCTTACACCTCATCAGACGTTTTTCAAACGGTATGCCGCACAGCATCAGATGGTATGCCATGCCATTATAGGTACTAAGTGTTACGTGGCAACCTTCTGTAAGACAACGCATTTTCGGTCGAATCTTCCATGTCGAACGTAGAATCCGGTTTCTCTGCAAAGTCGACAGCAAACGCCATTCCTTGATACGCCCTCTGTAGGAAAGATACACTTCCACTGCTTTCTGAGGTTTAATTTTTTCGTACTTTTCTAAAATTGGCTGTTCTTTGAAATCACTTTTATCGAAGCTTGTGTCGGACACAGCAGCAGAACAGGATGCGGTCTCTCCAGCGGGAAAAAACATTTCGGAGAGCATCTCGGGACGCTTAGGACGGAAAGGACGAGGATCATTGCAGTGCCGTTCCAAGTGTAGGAACATGCCTGGGGAACTGTGCAAATTTTTGCCACATTGGCTCAACAAACATCTGATAACGCGGTACTTGCTCATAGCAACCTCAATTATCTTTCGCTGCGTTCGTCGGGTCAAATTACCCCATCTCTCCAAGTCGTCCCTGAAGGACTCGTATTCTGCTTCAACTTCGGTTGCGGAACAGGAACGAGATTGTTTTTTGGCGAGAGTTTCAACCGGAATCAAATCGGATGAGGAATGACGATTGGCTTCGGTCGACACGGTGGGCATGAGTCGATCCGATAGCTCTTCAGAATGATTACTACCGAGCAAATGAGCCTCCCTGAGATGCCACTTCAAATGTAGGAACAAGCCTGCGGAGCGGGCAAAGTTCTTGCCACAATCACTCAGTAGACACTGAACAAAGTCATGCTTCCTCAACGTAGACGCGACTATCTTCCGCTGAATTTCTCTATCCAAATCATTCCACTTTTGCAAGTCGTCCCTGAAAGACTCGAACTCAGGTTCATCTTCAGTTCTAGAAAAGAACCGTTGTTCTTTGGAGACACTTTCATCCAAGGCTACATTAAATGCGATACCAGGATGGGCCCCGGTCAACAGGCTAGGAGTTAAGAGATCTGACAAATGTTCACGATCATTATTTTCGACTATATGAGCATCTTTGAGGTGCCGGTTTAAGTGTAGAAAGATGCTTGGGGAGCGGGAAAACTTCTTATCACAGTTGCTCAGCAGACACTGAACAAAGCCAGTCCTTCTCAACGCAGCCGAGACGATCGTCCGCTGAATTTTCCTATCCAATCCATTCCATCGCTGTAAGTCGCCCCTGAAAGACTCAAACTTAAGTTCATCTTTAGCTATAGCGGTGATCTGTTGTTCTTTGGAATCACTTTTGCCAAAGGCTACATAGGATGCAATACCAGAATTGGATCCGGTGGTCAAGGAGGGTGTGAGCAAGTCATGCACAAGTTTCGGCCGCTGAATACGAACCGGATGAGGATCTCTGCGATGACGTTGTAAGTGCAGAAACACGATTTCGACGCTACCCAGCTTCTTTCTACAGTCACGTTGAAGGCATCGGACAAAACGATGCTTCTGCAATGCAGCAGCAATTATTTTTCGTTGAATTCGTTCAGTCAAATCACCCCATCTCTCCAAGTCGTCCTTGAAAGACTCGAAGTCCGGTACAACCTTTATCCTGAATTTCCTGTTTTCTCTTCTGCGCGTATGCTCCTTCTTGCTCTGCTCATGTTTCGCTTTTTTTGATCTTGTTTCACTCATTTTCGTCTTCTTAACATAAGCTTGCGGTTGAACCTCAGCACAGTTAAAGGGGAACTTTACCTGATCATGGCATAAATCCAGCATTTCCTCGTCGCTTTCAGGCTCCTCTGCGTCAAGGCCGAAACTTTCCATCATAAATCAGCAACTCAGCCAACCCGGAGCGACTCCTCGGGTATATTAATTAACAGGAACGCAGTGCAACGAGAGAAAGTAGACGCGGATGCTGAGACGTCGACACTTCGCAGCCGACTAAACGAAAGAACCTAAAGAGATGCGGATGGATTTATGACATTTCCAATATATGAAGGGCAAGGAAATGCACATATAGGAGAATGGTTAACAGGCTGGAAGAAAAACGAGACGGAGCTCAAGAGCGGGCCTTACTAATGGCAAAATAACAGGCTCCGTAAACACCGAAAATAAAACAGACATAAGTGCTCCAGACACGTAAAATGTTATCTTTCTGTCCATCGCACGTTAAACCTCCACTTTATTTAACATACCTACATCATTATCATCACCACCCCCTGCATAAGTAATTAAACAATAAAGTTTCTAAAATGCGCATGAAATTCATTTCAGGGCAGGAACGCGAAGACGTATCTCGACATCATCATTCGAGCTGCCAACGGTGTTTTTCCTTTACAGTAGACAGACGACCGCAGTCTATTATGTTATCTCAACATTTCATTTTGCATTAATATATCTGATGATACGCTCAGAAATGAAATCAAGCTTTCGATGGATAAAACTTTAATGGATGTCAAAACAAAGCATCTTCAGTTTCTTAAAAATAAATATGCCAATTACATAATTAATGATGCACTTGAACGCTACGACACAATGACAAGGAGGTCGACCTTTTGAACTCCAGAGGTTCGAATCCGCTCAAGGGTAGCCTTTATCTTAACTGCGAAAACCTTTGGGCAAGGATTTATTTGCTTCAATGCAACCTCTCGAGAAACGGGTAGCAACTTGTTGACTTGCGACTGACATGAACAGCATGGTATTCTGGTGTGGTAAACTTAGAATGAACGAGATGAACGGCCACGACGTCCAGTGCGAACGTTTCTTCTAGAAATATTTTTGCCCCACCTGATAGCTCACAATCCGACGTAATAATCAACACAAGGTATTACCCCTAAAAGATTTAAATAGTTCAAAATTCGTCCCGCCCGGTTTTCTCAGTATAATGCCCAGTACATGTTTGAGAAAATTCTATAATAAAAACAACTAAGAATTTAATGCCTCCCACAAAATTCCGACCCAGGCACCTCATCGTGGTGTGGGAGTGACAACGGCAAAATATCTCTGACCGGCTAAGCTCGGGCGGTACCACTGACAGCCTGGACCAGCGAGTGGTAAATTAACAGG